CAGAAAGATTGGGTCCAACTGTTACAAAAAACAGCATTGTTTAGGAATATAATAAAAATATATATTTAAAACAAAACTTTTACTGAACTAGATTTTAGAACCCAGCAAAGTTAAGTCAGGTCGTTTGGATGGTTTCTTTTTATTGAACCTGTCCAGACAACCTGACTTAACTTTGTTGGATTTTTCTACCTGGATTATTGAGCATGAATCTGGATATATTTTAGTAAGTAGAAAAGAAAGTTTTACATTTAAGCTAACGTATATTTTTTTGTTGTTTTGTATTGCTTGTACTTACTGTATTCATCGTATATATATATATATATATATATATATATATATATATATATATTATATCTATCTATATATATATATATATATATATATATGTGTATATATATATATATATATTTATATATCAGGCTGCACAGCAAAGTCTTGTCGAATTTTAGGGCAATAACTGACGATTTAACTGTCTTAAACTCTATGTGGACTATAAATACAAGATGGTTCTTGTCTTCTTGTGCAGACTGAGACAGAATATCAAGATCCCACCTCCACCGTACACATACGTGGGGGAAAAAAAAAAAACAACTTTTGAACTTTATGCCACTGATGGTTTCACTGAAGATGGCGATAAATCAGCCTCTCACGTTTATGTGACTAAATTGCTCATTATCCTGTTTCATTTTTCATTAAAATCTGGGAGTGGGTACGCCTCACTTTACCTTCCCACACACACAAAACAGATTTGTTGATCAAAATAAAGCTGAAGTTATTCTGAATCACCGTGACAGCAAATGTTAATTATGAGATTCTGTTGAACCCTGTCCTGTTCATTAGTCACTGCGGGGATAAAACCAGCAAGGAGAACGTCTCTCTAATCACCAGGCTCTCATGCACCTGCCCTGACTCTGTGTGCTTGTTATAAAGAAAGAAATCCCTCTACAAAGACGTCCAGAGCCAAGTCAACTTTAAAGAGCCAAGCCGGAGAGCGGAAGCTATGTGATCATGTTCTTTGGTGTTTTATCTCCTCTTTTGTCTACAACTGTAGGGAGGCACTGAATAGAAAGAGGAGTACGAAGGTTGAATTTTATTTGCTGCTGTGCTATGTTAGAATGCTATAAAATGTTTTATATTGAATGTGTATCAGATAGTGTGAGGTAATTTTATGTAAATCCAACAGTTACTGGGGCAAATAATTGTAAATTCAGGGTTCAACCTGGGAATTTATTGAGATTTACGCAGTAAAGGTTTTATTTTAGCTAAAGGTTCAACTAAACTCAGCTGACTGGGACTTCTGTTCATCATCAGATGCAATTATTTGAGTAAATTAGGCTGATTTTCCTTTCCTAAAACATTTTTCAACCACCAGTCACAAAATATTTTCAGTTTGTAAAAAAAAAAAAAAAAAAAACTTACAAAATACTGGTGCAGTTTTATTCCCAAACCTTGGCTCTGAAGTATTTTGTGAATAAAAAAAAACCAAAAACAATAATAAATAAAACTAACACTGCAGGTTTTTGCCAGAAACTGCAACAATTCTTTGCATCAGAGCAAATTAACAACAGAAAGAAGGAAAAAAAAAGATTATACATAACAAATCTAAACATTACATACTGTAACTGTGCTGTATTACCATTTCAACATACCAGTATGGTTTATTTCCTTTTTTTTAATGGGAAATCTGAAATAACAGGTAACACTGCATGTGTCTCAATATGTCACCATAATTACTGCCTCTAGTGCTAGCCGAGGGCTGGAGCAGAATGGTACTTATTGACTTGGAGACCCATTGAGAAGGAAATTGCTATCTCAAGTGTAGATGAGGAGGAAACTGTAATTGGGTGGCAGAAAGGGCAATTTGCGCAACTTTGAAACATATGATCGGGAAAAAGTCATCCGCATCTTTTCATCTAATCGCAATAACCTCTTTAAGACTTTTCTTGAAATTACACACTTAAATTATGAAACATAAAATTGGATTAACCTAATTCAGTGATTAACATAAATAATAATCTGTGTACTAATCTGCATATCTGATGACGCCCAAAAATATCTACATTTGTCTTTCTTGCTGATAATTAAAATGTTTTTAGTGTAAACCCGAAGCTTCGGGCAGCACCTCAACACGGGGATCGTTGCTCTTTCACTGCTCCCCCTGACAGAACAATCTTCACCCAGTTTTAAAGGTTTGCAGACATTTTCTATCCTCAGCTACGTGTTTATTCCTGCAGATGTGTAGAAAGCTTTGAGTCCTTGTGCGCATACTTCTTTCCAGGGTTTAATTTGTAAACCGATTGATGCCGGAATGCAAATAGTGGGTGGGCCGGCTTTTGGGGGGTGGGGAGTCGGGGGGTCCTCCTCCCCCAGAAAATTTTGAATAAAGTAGATGTGATTTCCTGCATTTTGGTGTCTTTTAAAGGGTTGTTAAACAGCTACATGCTCCTATTTGTAAACACCGCTTCTGTCAAGCATCCTACCCACCCCACTCCCGCACTTGACGAATCCGAGCAGACTTCTCTGGTGAAGTCACTGTCAGACTCCACATGTGAAAATGTGAAACCTCCTCCTTCGTCTGTTCATGGCGGCTGCCCGCAAACGACTGCCTTGATAGCTCGGCACTCACCCCCACTCTTTTAGGGAGGGAGATTTTTATTAAGGCTACACGTGGCAATGCTACTTGAAGAGCCAGATCCTATGTGATATTAAGAATTCGTAAGTGGCTGTTTTATTTAAAATGAGTGTTTATGTAATTATTTTCTGTCTACATATCCAATATAAGTTGTATTTATTCAAGGTAATCATATTTGTTCATAACTTTATTATTAGTAAGCCTGAGAGTTATCAGATCCAATCAAACAGTTACCAGAATGCACCCTGCCAAAATAAGAGACTTTCCAGATTCTGTTCAGGTAGGATCCAGCTCAAATTAAGCTCTGCTTCATTCCTACCCTTGCGTTTTACACAAATCTATAATTTTGGTCAAAGCAACAGCCTTTTTTTTTTTTTTTTTAAACGTTGACGGTGCTGTGAAGTCAGCACGGCCGGTGACACTTCTTGAGACAAATCACCGCCGCCTCTGGCGGAGCAGCTGAGCTGAGCTGTCTTGCCAACAGAAATGAGTAGCCGGTTCTGTAATGGTAGTCCAATGGCAGTGATTAGGAACGGACTTGTCTATTTATCATCAGTGAGTGTGGCTTCTAGCAAGACAGGCAGAAGGTACAGCGAGAGGGAACAAGCGAACTGACAAAGGTTTTGTCAGGCTTTTACTTCCTTGTGTGGCCTCCATAAATCACTGGGCGAGCGCTGTAACACACTTTCATTCGTTCCAATCAAGCGATTTATCCCGCGTACATGGAAACAGGTACGCCGGATCAATTTATGCTCAAACTACTTCTGCTGTTCAGGAAAGACCCCAATCTTGTTTTAAAGCAATTATGGTAAGTGCTGTTATTAAAAAATAACACTAAACAATAAAACTCACGCTGAAATCAATTCAACTGTTAGATCAAAACATTAAAAACAATGTTCAAGTCTTCTGAAAGGATGTTTTCCTTTATGATTAATACCAATGCTGATTTATTTCAGCTGCGCAGACAATGAATATGGGAAAGGAGATTTAATTTGAATCTGTGAAAGAGCTTGAGGCTTTTT